CCTCATTAAAAAGCACTTTTAGGGAGTCATCATTAACTTCTCCCCATTTCACTAATTAACGTCGCAGTTGGTCAATATTTGCCTTTAGGAAGCTCAGTCTGCCCCACTGCATCCTGTCCATCCATGTAAGCTAACTGGCATGCAAAAGGACCTCAGAAGAAAACAGCTTCCAGCCAGTTCTACCCACACCACTTGTAAGCTTTTATGTGTGTGTGTGTATATATATTAGATGTTATTCTCAGATGCGTTATTACAGACCGTTTGTGGATTATTCTGCAGACATTTTTAGTAATATTTGTAATACTCTGCATCTGGTTTCTCTGTGATCAAAGACTGCATGTTGGTTCTGAAAGACATTTCCCTCTCTCAAAGTGATTTTTGTTGCTCTCATACCTTTTTTTAAAATTTGGGCCGTTATCTTTTGCGTAGGTGTACAACGTTCAAACAGTATTCTGGACTCCCCACAGCATATCCATCGTCTCTGGTTTAGGTGGATTCTTTCTTAATTGATTCATATGAATTTTATTTTTTTAATCATATAATTGATACATCCTTAATTTCTGCAATGGAGCAAGGTCTGGTAATCTTTTCACCCATTTTAATATGAACTAGACATGTGCCTTTTAAGTTTTTAGTCTGTTTTACTTTCATAATGGTAAAGCAATTATATTCGACTATGTACAAAAAGTCACAAGGGGAAAATCTAAGTAATCTTGGTAATCCAAGTCTAATTAAATACATTTGTGCCTCAGTATTTCTGAGTTTCTTAGAAGAGTTTTGTAATGTTACCTCAAACATGAATTTGGTGCTTCTGAAATCCAGCATTTATGTAAAGAAAAAAAAAGTAGCATTAAAATTGAGCTGAAAAGAACAGCCAGTAGCTGTTAATAACTGCTGATGTTTGCAGATTTAGAGGTTATTAACTTTTTTCCCTTCAGTCCACTCCAGAACAGATAATGCTAATTGTCGTAAATATGTTCTTGTGAAGACTTCTCTTTCTATAATTGAGAAGTGCTTTGATAAATAGTTTGTGGTATCATTTGGCCGTTTTCAAAGTGTTCCACGGTTCCAGTAACAAGACAGAGTGCAGCTTTACGTTAGCTGCTGTGGCCACTGATGAAGGGATCTTGACTGAAAACAGCAGTCATCTTGTAAATTCTTTGTGAGAAGATGACAGATTTGAACCTTGCCAATCTCAAATAATAAGAGAATTTAACGCTTCTCATTTTCTATCTACAGGAAAATTGTTCCTGCAGAGCTTGAAGCTATTCAGGTTGGGAAGTTCTGAACTGTTTAATTTTAACACTGTAGGATTTAGCGTACAAGTGGTAGAGGGATGCTTCTGTTTCCTGTCTTGTCCATGGGAAGTAGGCTAATCAAATGTTTTCCAATTAGAACAATCAGCTCATCAAGGGAAACAAGCCAGTAGTGGGCTTGCATCCAGTTCCTCTTAAGGCATTTTGCATCAGAGAAGATTACTTCTGTGGCATCACCATAAGGTTGAGGATTCACCAGGGAGTTGGAACTATATGGGGCAGGGATGAAGCAGAAGAGGGGAAAGAAAAGGACCGTAACAGCAAGGATTAATTATTGCTGCTCACAAAAGTAGAGAGGCGTATTTTTAGAGGTCAGTCTTCACCTCAAGTGTATGCTGCTTGCTTTTGTCAGATACCTCTGGCAATGGAAAGCTGACCTAGAGAAAAATTAGTCAGCGAGGCTGCAACCTCAGTATGCTTTGGCTTCAGAAGCTGGAGATGCTATCTGGGATCAAAGTGCAGTCATAAGTATGTGGGGAGAGGTGCTAATTCAGCACCGTTCCTCTCGGTGTGGGGATCCGCTTTCACTTAATGCTTTTTCTTTCAGAAGATGACTCACCTGGAAGGAGGGTGAGCATCTGTCGTGCTTTCTTCCCAGTGCGGAGGGTCAGATTTATATAGCGAGGGATGAATTTTTGGGTCAATTCAGCCCAAACTAAGCTGTCATGGCAACAATACAAAAGCTTAGCCATGGGACAGCTACTAGTATGAGTATAATTTAGCTTCAGTAGTTTATTTATAATTCTTTAATTTAAGGTGGTTTTAAACTGCTTGATGGTGTACTTAGTTTTCAGATTCAGAAGAAGAAATCAATTCTGTGTTCTCCTTCAATAGCATAAAATATTTTCAGTGTTACCTAATGCTTGTGGTTCCTCTGTACTGAGATGCAGTGCTTTCGTGCACTGTTCTAAGCAAGAGGCTAAGCTGGATTTGAACTCTTGCTCTAAATTTGGTGTGCTGTTTTCAGTAGGCTCTGGACAAATCAATGCAATAGGCAACTACAAACACAAAATATGTTAATATGCCACCATAAGGGATGCCTTCAGAAACAGTTATGATAAAATGTAGCTGCTGATAGGGGATTAAAGAGTTCTATTAAACCTGTCATTTGCATCTGTCATCTCATATAGCACAGCAAAATAATTTTGGGTGGAATATGAGTAAACTTGTCCTTCAGATTCCTCCTAGCGTGGCAAAAGTGTAGAAGTTGCTTTCCTTTTTCTGATAGTTTTTGTGGCCTGTGCGAAATTAATTTGCCATTAATTCCCATTTCTGGGTCGGTGTTCATGCTGTGTATGCCTTCTGTACCATTTCCCAGATGCACATTTTGTAAATCTTTATGAATGTACAAAATGATGGACGAATGGAAGAGGTGGTTATTCCACTAATGAATAATTCTGCTTGGAGTTAAAAAGGTGGAATGGGGAATAAAAGCAGCATTGGGAAAGAATGAAGATACTCTTTATATTCTTCGCTAGGGAATGTTTTCGGCATTGTATCCTGGAGCCAGTTTGCTATCTGTTTTTCAGACATGAACTCGTAACAATTTAAAAGATAGCTATTTTAAAAAGTTTCAATCGGGTGTCCTTTATGCTCTGAAATATCTAGGGAAATAGTTACCTAATGATACGGGGCGACATAAAAATAAAAATCCTTGTTTTACCTGGTTTAGATTTATAATTGAGATGATTTATAGAAGAATCCACAGTGAATCTTAACCTGACCTGAAAGTTAATTAGATTAAGATGGGTGTTATGTCCTGTTCTCAGTCTTTGCAAACAGCCAAGTTAAAAACCACAGTTAGTAATCCTGTAATTCTTTACACTGAATTCCTTAAATAATTAGTAATGTAAAACCTTTAAAAAGTTGTTACTTATCCTTTCATTCTGCTTTTCCAGTCCACGGCAACTGTTTTCTGTTTTTCTAGCCAGCCACTCTCACTTTGCCTTTTAACATATCCCAGAAACGTTGGTTGGAAGGGGCCTCTGGAAGTCATCTAGTCCAGCCTCCCTTTAGAAACAGGACAGTTGCCAAAGCAAGATCAGCCGTGGCTTTGTCTAGTTGAGTGTTGAAAACCTCCAAAGATGGAGATTTCACAACCTGATTTACTGTGGTAGTTTGCAAGGTAACATAAAACAGAATCTGTGGAATATCTTCAGAGGTTGGCTCTTAAGTATTTCTGAATCAGATTTTGGCATTTGTTGCCTGGCAAAGAAGCTGCATTGCCACTTCTGTATGAAAGATAGTTGCAGTGTGCTGTAAGGGTGGGTTTCACAGGCTGTAATTTTGGCTACATATGAATTAGGTACCTAGTTTGTTAACCAAGGAATCTCCCCCTATAATCAGCGTAAAGAAGTCCTCTCCAAAAGCCCTCTGTTTCCTCTCAGGAATGGTTGGAATGAGTCATTCTCAGGAACCGCCTCTTTTTCCCCACCATTTACAGGGAGGGTTCCATTTCCATTTGGTGTCAGACTTGCTTAGATGGCTTTGGCCAGATGAGGGGAATTTCTTCCCCACTGGACCAAGGTAGCATGTGGACTACAACCACAACTTTGGTCAAGTGGGAAATAATCTTAGTTAGCAAATACTGCAAAAAAACCCACATGAGGCAGAACATTGACTGACAACCATAGCTATCAATGCCTTCTCAAGCACTTCCCTCATGCCTTTCCTCCATTTTGGGATTTTTTGTTTATTTTCCATAATGATTTTGCCTTGGTCATCATGCTACCCTATTGTTTTTTTTTGGTTGCAAAGGGGTAATAAATTGCTTTGTATTTATTTGAATTCTCATATTTTCCCAGAATTATCATGGCTTGGAAGAGGGTGACTTAAAGATTTTTTGTTGTTGTAGGATTTTTTTTCTTTTTTTTTTTTGGATGTGAGTTATGCAAACATTTGAGGGAGGAAGGAGCATTGTGATTGGGCTGATAGAGGAAGGATTTTGCAAGCAGCAGTTTATTGCTTAGGATGCCTGTGGGGACTGCATGGTTATGCAAACTAGTGCCCCAGAAGGGAAACATCCTGTCATTCCTTTAGCATAACATGCACAGCAGATAGCAAGGCATGGCCAGCGCTGTCTTAGAGCAGAAAACTTCCTTAACTACAACTTACAAAGCATTGTTTTTTTCATTCCCACTGTTATTATTCTGCCAGCAAAGAGGTGGTAAAGTCTCTTTCTTTCTGATGGAACAACATAGGAAAGGATATGTTTTGCTCTTCTTATTACCTTTGATCTTTTGTTGGTTCTTCAGGTTCAATTAAATTGCATATACCAAGATAAAAAATAATCTGACCTTTCTGAATTGACTTCCTCGCTCTGCTGTTGTTGCATGGAGCTTGCCTGAGAACGGATATTTTTCTGTCTGCCATCTGTAAAGTGGCTCACTGTGTGTTATTAAGTATCTTGGGAGATTTTGTTATATTTTTGTCTTCCTTAAGTCTTCTGATTTAATCAGTGATGGTGGCATTAAAAATGACTGTTAGTACAAGTTTTCCTAAACCTCAACATAAATAGATATGTTTTACACTTTAGCAAATAAAATACATTTCAAAACAACTGTGATAAAGCACGTACAGCTTTTTCTGATGGATGCAATGTTTGTACTTGCTGGGCCTGAAGTATCTACTACCATATGTGTCTTGGGAAGTGTGTTGAAGGTCTCTCTCTCTGATGCATTGCAGGACCCTGAGGATGCTGTGCCTGTTGGGCAGAGGAGGGCTTGGTGCTGGTGCATGTGTTTTGGATTGGCCTTTATGCTGGCGGGTGTGATCCTGGGTGGTGCCTACCTGTACAAATACTTTGCATTCCAGGTAAGTCAAATACATTTTGTTACTGGAGGGCTGCGTTTTTCTCTGTTATGCTTTATGTGCAGAAGAGGAAAGATGAGCAATGAACTAAACCAAATAGCCTTGCTCCTCCCATTTTTATCTTTCTAAAACTTCAGCTTTTCTAAAGGCAAAGTGTGTGACCTGCTCTGAAGTTACCTGTCAGCAGAGGAAGGCTGGACTGAAGCTGGCAAATAAAAGGGAGCAACACTTTCAAAAACTTTACTTTGCAGAGAAAGGATTATATTTAAATAGGACTTGGGTGTGGGAACCCCAGTGGTGTCCCAGATTTTCATCTGCTCTCTCCTGTTCCAAAGTGCTGAATACTGGAAGTAGATTAACCCTTGAAAGCACGCAGTGCTGCAAATGCACAGGAAAGGAACTGGTCGTCAAAGCAGTGCCGTGACTCTCCTCCTTTGTAGCCTCCACAGGAATAAGAAATACAGGCCCTGCAGGGAACTTGGGAGAACCACAGTCAACGTGGTTAAACATGCTCTGTCAAGTCTAATCGACGCTGATGATCAGACCTCTGACAAAGTGTATTCTCAGTCTTCAACAAATGGCACTACTGCAGGAGGAGCCCTGTGAAGGCAGTGGTGCCAGCGAAGTTGAACACTTACCTAAAACATGGGAGATCTTAGTTAAATATTGTCTTCCTTGAGGGTGATTGTCACTGGGCAGCACTGGATGTGCTGGGTTGTTGCCCAAGTGGTGTGAGCATACCCCTCCTCCTTCAGAAACTGCACAGGGTCAGAAAGAGAGAGTATGAGCAAAACATGAATCCCTCTAGCCCACTGGTTAGTGCACATAATTAGAAGGTTTCTTGTCCCTGCTACCAGGATTATTTTTTTCCTCATTTTAGTATCTCCTAATGTGGAAGGAAAGTTTTTAAACATGAGAAATTCTAGCTGAACTTGCAGTTTGCAGTCTCTTTGGCTATCACGTTAACCTAATTTACAGGGGAGCAGTAGTATTGCAAACAATGCTTAAACGACATATTGTCTCTTGGTGGATTAACAAGCTGAGAGTAGGTGAAGGCCTGCTGCATTACTAATGTGTATTCCATCCGTGCTTAGCACCACGTTTCTCCACCTTTCACATGCCAGCTAGCTGAAATTGAAAGTGCTGCTTCATTCAGACCTGTGGTACTTGTTCATGAGTCAGATCTGGGTTGGAGGAAACATTCGGGAATTGAGCTAACGCTGCACTGAAGACATGTTTTCAATGTAAAACTTTAAATTGATGGGATGTGTATATGCTTAAGGTGTATGTTTCTAAAACTGTCTGGCCTATAAATTTGGTATATGACGTCCTCTGATTCAAGAGTGTATTTTACACTTCACTTAGGTACCCTGCCATATATAAATATATATGTGAGATATATACATATCTGTGACATATATAACTGTGACAGGAGGACACAAATTGGTTGTTTTAGTTTCTTTTTATTACCTTTTTGTCTTTTAAAACTGTTCAAAACAAAAATTTATTTTAGAAACTGACTTTGAAAACTTCAGAAGCCTTGCAAAACTAAGCAATTTCACAGAATAATTGGAGTTGGAAGGTAACTCTTGAAGTCATGTGGTCTGACCTCTGCTGCATGCAGGACCAAATTCAGAGTTAGACTTGGTTTTCAAAAGTGATTTGGATGATCACTTTCAGTGTCTTAAATTGTAATTATTGACTGCAGTGAAATCATTATTAAATTTAAAATTTAAATAATTATTTAATTTAAAAATAATAATAATATGCATGCATATAGGTAGAGGAGCTTCATTTTCTAAAAAAATGTGCAATGTACCACAGATAATGGATGCAAAATAGAAGAGTGTATTTTAAGAACCTGCTTTTGGGATCCTGTTTTTCTTGAGTTTAAGGGAAGGGCTCCTTCTGGGTTCAGTATAATTAAGGTTTTACCCATGGTCCTGTTGTAGATAGCGACTGGCTCCTACTTTACTGTGTGAATCAAATTGAAGGGAAAACACTTCACCTAGTCTGACAGGTTTTTCTTCTCCACAGTGCTTTTAGAATATTAATTTTAAACTTCTAAAAAGGCTACTGATGGTTTTGTTGCTGGGTTGTTTACTGTTTTTAGCAGGGTGGTGTGTATTTCTGTGGAATAAAGTACATCGAAGACGGCTTAAGTTTGCCTGAGCCTGGGGCAGAAGCTCAGAGTGCTCGCTACCACACGATTGAGCAAAATATTCAGATCCTGGAGGAGGAAGATGTTGAGTTTATCAGTGTGCCAGTCCCTGAGTTTGCTGACAGCGACCCTGCTGATATCGTCCATGACTTCCACCGGGTAAGAAATATATCTGAAGAAGTCGAATGCATTTAAAAACTTGAAAAGTGTTCCCTGTCAGTCAACCTGATAAACGTACTTCATAATGATTGTGGTGGGGCAAAGTGGAGGGTGGAGGAGGAGGCAGCAGAAATGTTTTGATCAGCAGCAGGCTGCAGGCATTTACTAACTGGGCATACGAAGTACAGCGTTATACAATCATCATGAAGTAGTATGTAAACCACCATTTGCAAATACGGTTCTGTTTTTAGAAAGGGAAAAATCTTTGAGTTATTTCCTTTCCTTAGTATAAGGAAGTAAAGAGAATATAGTTCTTGCCATGCTAAGTCCACCGAGCCAGAAGTTGACCAACTGCTGTGGGGCCAAGGAAGTTAGGAAAGGGCTGTCAGAGGTTTGATCTCACCTTGCAGGGACTGGTTGCATCTGATGTCACTAGGTATGTTTAAGCACCCCCAGAGGTGCTCTCCTAGCATGGCTCAAAAACCCCAAAGCAGCAGCAGAAAGGGAAGGAGGCAACCAGCTGACCGACGGTGGGAGAGAGCTCATTTTCCAGATGCCGTAGGAAGCCTAGCAGAGGCTAAATTTTCCGTGTGCACCACAGGTTATTGTGATTCCTAAAGGCACTGGAACAGGGTTTTGAAGCACTTTTAGCTGTTTCTTCTTTGTAGAAACAACTCTGGTAGGAATCGTGGTACTAAATTTTTGCTAGGGCAGTTGACAGGCCTACAGCTCTTGGTATTAATGACAGCTGTAAAACAATTAGAAGCCCTTTTTTCTGTAACAGCCTGGTGGAAGCTGTCTGATAGCGATGAAATGTTCTACAGCTGTTTTTCAGGAAGCTAAATTTCTGTGAACATTTGAAGACTTCGCTGAATAGCTTTTTTAAACAAGGCTGAAAAAGAATAGGGAAGTATCTTATTTTTTTATGCAAACTTAAGAGTTTAAAGTTTTCCAGGCAAAGTGAGTGCTATCTATCAAATATTCATAACCAGATTTGGAGGAAAACATTGCTTGCTTGAGCTATGTAATTTAAAAATATTCCTGAATATATTTAGAGAGCTTCTGTTAAGAGTTATAGCAAAGCCTCTAAAGAGGGGGAAAAACAGAAAAAAAAAGCAGCATATAAGAAGTCAATAGGAGCAATATAATATTAGAAATTTACTTTTTGATTTAATGGGTTAAAGGCTTTGCTCTAAAGGTCAGCACAAAGATCATTTGCCATAGGCGTAGCACTTATTCCCATGTAATGAGATTAGTTGCACTGATGATTGCTGTCTTGGTACTATTTTGACCGTTGAGCTCTTGGTGCTCAGTATTTCATATACATCTCCAGCCTTAGAGCTTTCAGCAGCTTGAGATAATGTTGTCTTTAGCAAGAATAGATCCAGTATAACACAGCTCTGAACAGAGCCATAGGATTCATCACGATAATTCCCTGGGGTTTTATGTCTCTGTTTTTATCAAATAATGACAAATACTACAATTCATGCACTATAAATGTAATAACTCAGCTATAAATAATCATTAATACTTCCAGTCAGTAGAATTTTTGAAAATAAAACGAATTTTGTTGCATTGTCTGTAACAGTATTTTTTTCCTTCTGTATTGTGTACTTATTGGCAGCTTTTCCCCTTTCAACTATAACAAAATGTAAAAGCATAGAGATTAGAGCAAGGTTTTTGCCCTGTTGTTTCAAAGTGCAGGAACTAGGAATAAATGGTTACTGTAGTGGATTCCCAAACAGCTCAGATACACCTTTCTAATTTCGTTACTGTAGTGCATTTGAGCTACTTACTGCCTGTTGCCTTGCACAAATCCCTGTCGTAGGTTTAAACTCTCATCAAGTCTGCCTTTTATTTCTGCATTTACCTACCCTCAAATTGGAGTTTGTTGGACAGACTTTATATTGAACAAAACAATAATTTGAAGAACAACATGAAGCAATAGCAGTTTGGCAAAGTCTGTGTGTAAATTTTCTGATGTTCTCATTATTTTGATTAAAATAAATATTTCCTCAACAGAGACTCACTGCCTATCTTGACCTTAGCCTGGATAAGTGCTATGTGATTCCTCTGAACACTTCAGTTGTTATGCCACCAAAAAATTTCCTGGAGCTGCTCATCAACATCAAGGTATGGTTAAATCATAAGTAATTTGATCTGAAGACAGGGAGAAAGGATAATTTTTTTTTTTTTCCCCAGAACTCTGACATTCACTCAAGGCACATGTGTTAGAACGTTAACTAATCTTTAGACATCCCTGCAAAGACAGTAAAAAGTCTGTAACCTTAGTTAATTATCTACAATCATGAAGGAAATGCTAATTCAGAGGAAGCCAAACAAAGCCGATTTCACTCTTCGATACTACAAATTTCATTGACAAAATTGTGTAGATGTGGTGTACCTAGACTCTTGGACAGTAGTCTGTGTGGTTTTTAATTTATAATCCGTCGTGACTAAAGTTTCCCTAAAGCATGTATGCACTGGACTAAGACTGGTTATCTGAGAGGTTTAAAGTAAGTATTCCAAGAAATCCTTTCAAGATGGACGTTGTTTAAAGCGTAGATCTCTAGGGTTGCCCGCTGCTTTGAAGCAGTCCCATGGCTTGAATGATGTACGTGAGGTGTGTTGCATCTGCGCTGCGTGCTCAGGGAAATTAGATGTGGCACTAAGTGTGATGGACTAGCACTGGATGTGAGTTCACGAGGCTTCCAGCAGCCTTAAGATGGATCTTCCTATTACCAGGGAGGTTTTGTAGGAGTGATCAGGATTTGCACTGTATGATTAGCAAAGCCCATTTAAGCAAGAGGGGTTTTAGTACAGCCAGACTGCTGATTCTGTGAGCACCAGACCTTCAGAACGAGGTTTGGTGTCCTTAAAAATAAGGACACTGGGAAGGACTGAGATATCACAATACTGAACAACCAAACATGAGTTTTCAGTATAATATTTTGGCAACTCCTAATCACTTCCCAGCAGGGTCTGATAATTGAACACTGCTGCCTGGCCTGTGGTGCTGGTGCTGGCTGGCTTCTCGCCATCACGGGGACACGCTGTTCTCTTAGTAGTAGTAACTGGGTGAAACGTAATGGCCTGTGAAACTGAGGAGGCCAAAGTAGATAATCTAATGGGATCTCTTACTAATGTAATATGAATCATCTTTCTTTTTTTTTTTTAACTCACATATGTATGCTTTTAGCACAGTTTTAAATAGTATTTACCCTGGTTTTCAGCCTTCCATTTTCTTTACAGAACAGCAGAGCACTTATGGTGAGGAAGAGAGCTGATAAGCTAACTTGTGTCTTAAGATTTGGGGAGAGTATTTTATATTTTATTTTAGTGGGTTTTTGTAACTTAAGAATTGTTAATCTCATCTTTGGGTTTGCATCTTTCAAACAAGGCCTTGAAATTAGGACTCCAGGAAGCATTTTAGCCATTTCTGAGTGGTTTTTGTATATAAATAAATTTCATGTGAAAAATGAGTTCACAAGTAAGTCCTCTGCTGCTTTTTTGCTGCCTGTTTTGAGACTGGGTATTTAAACACACTTTCATTTCCTGTACATAAGGACGAGGTGGTGTCTGTAAAACTTGGTGACCTCATATTTTTTTACTTTGTGTATCCTGTTTTGTTTCCATTTTTAGTTCACACAAATTCCACTATTAAAATCTATTAATTTCCCATTTTGTCATTAGTACTAAATCAAATATGCTTGGTTTACAAGTAAGAGGATAACCAGGCAACACACATTTAATTCAAAATCTGTGCAAAAGCAAACTATTTGATCGTTGTCCCCAACAGTGAATGCTCTAATTTTAGGAGACATCTGTTTAATTCTCATTGTATTAACAAAAGGCTGTGGGCATTTGATGTCTCAGAAAATGGGGCTAAATGTTTTGTAACTGAAATTTGGGAAACTACTCTGCAGATGGACAAAGTGAGTAAATTTCTATTCACTGTCCTGCAGTCACGCTGGTTGCACAAGGGAAAAAAAGTATGAAATTAAAGTGCTCGTTTCATTTGAGTGAGCTCTGAATACATGCAGAGGGCATTTTATGAAAATCGAGGTGCTCTGGGCTGTTTTGATTTTTTCACAAAAGCCATAATTTTAGCCTAAAGAAGGACATTTCTATATATTGATACAGTTTGCTTGAATATGCAGGCAGTGAAAGGCCTCCTTTCATTGAGAAACAATGCTGAAATCCAGGTATATTTGTTTATCCACCGTGTTCCTGTTGTTGAGCCAACTGGCCGATTTTAACCATATGCAATGCACAGGACATCTCAAAGACGATGCTGACAACTTTTGTGCTGGGTCCCAGTGCTCAGTAATTGCTCCTGCAGCAGCTGGGCAGAGGAGATTCCTGCTCTGAGCTCCCTCTCCTCCTGCACCCCATGGGAGGGCCAAGAAAGCCTCAGGTCTAGGGGGGTGGTCTGCGAGGTCCTGCGGTTTGGAGGGCACGGGCCCAGGAGCATCCTTGCAGGCTGCCTAGGTTGTCAGCGCTGCTGCCCGCCCTGCCAGTGCCCTGCACTGCTGCTTTGCTCTGGGGCTTCCTCAGGGCTCTCTCCTGAAATTTAAAACACCAGGGGTTAAGATACAGTAGTTTACAGTGATTTAATTACCAAATAATGAGTGAGATAATTTGGGAATGTGAAGTCTTCCAAGCCGTTATTTAAAGAGAAAAAAACGGGGTTGTTTTCCTCATTGTATGTCCTGAAGAAAATTTTCATAATTTAAAGTGAATTTTATACAGTCCTTTCTCTCTTTACTGAAAAGAATAGCATTTAATCAGCATTTTCTCAGCATGTTGCTTGGACTGAAAAGACAGTCTTGTTTTGCAATGGAAATTTCAAGTTGTTTATTGTCAATTCAAAATATAGTGATCTTTTACCACAGAAGCTGAGTTTGTTTCCATAATAAGTGATCATTGTATTTTTAGAAAGCAAGCAACACCTGCTCTACTGCTATAAATTAATATCCCACTAACAAAATGTCTTAAATGAAATAGTAGTTCAAAAAACGTTGATGGTTATTTACCAGTGGCAGTATTAGGAAATTGGCTGATAGCTGACTGTGTGCTTCGTCAGCCATGTACAGTCAGGTATGCACAGAGCTGGATTCCCCCAGCATTCCACCTGTGGCAACATAGCGTTGAACGGCCTAGAAAAGGCTTGGGAAGCCTTTGTGTGTCGTCATGGCTCTTCCTTGTTCAGTGTATTGCCTTAAAGTACCTGCTATACCACCATGGCTTTCCAATACTTTTCTGTATAAACAGTTGTGGGAATTGTCTTACTAACTTTTACGGGGCTAGATGGTCGTCTTGTGTTTGGCTTGGGAGTTGTGACCCACACTGTGAATGTGTCCAAGGCTTCCCAAACCCCGTGGACTGCAGCTGGAGTATACCGTAGCTGGTGTGCTTCATCAGCAAGAGTACGTAGAGCATGCTCCATGGAGAGCACGCCTCTGCCAACTCCTGTTTGGGAGTGGTTCCCACTGAGGTCTCTCGGGCTGTTGTTAATTATTAAATGCAAACTTTGGATGAGAAGTGCAGGACTGATCCGTGACAGTGGGTGCGCCTGAGAGGAAAGATTTCTTCTCTGCTGAAGACTGATGTTACTGTAGCAGGAGAGCGGTGGACGTATGCATCAGTGGAAGTTTTGTGACCTTTTTCAATATAACCGTTATGTATTTCTGTAGCGTAGTGCAGTGCAATGATGTTTGCACATTTAGAATAAAATTCTGCGATAATACTTATTTGGAAAGAACTCCAGATATGTCACAGCCATGTTAAAGAAAAACGATGCAAAGTGTTTCTTGTGCACTTAGACCACGAAGAGATGGCTTTTGACAGAGCTGTTATGTTTTTGTTCAACAGGCTGGAACATACTTGCCTCAGTCCTATTTGATTCACGAACAGATGATTGTTACTGATCGCATTGAAAACGTGGATCAGCTGGGATTCTTTATTTACCGCCTCTGCCGTGGCAAGGAAACCTATAAACTACAGCGCAAAGAAGCCGTGAAAGGTAAGCGTTCCTCCTGGTGATCTTTTGTGTTGGCAGGAAGTTCAGTGCCGCTTGAGTTCAATAAATAGGCTTGATTGTGACTCTTATTAACGCGAGAGTTGCTTATTGCAGTAACCAGCTCTGTGGGCTTAAGTACGCCTGATATTTTCTGTGTAGGTATGGAAATAAGTCGTTTTATTGTGCCAAATAATATTGTGCCAAGGCCCCAGTGAGCTAGGAACTGCTAAAGTGCATGTGTACGCATGGGTATGTTTTCTGTGGTTCAGGCTTTCATTGATGCTTCTCTTTAACCTTGTTTCTTGACCCACCCCCACAAAACCAAAAAACCCTTTAATACAAGAGAAGTTGGAGCCTTGTAGTCCAAGTAGAGAATTGCAGGTTCTTCTTGTCTTGAAAGCCGTCTGTGAATTGGTTCACATCTTCCTGTTTGCATCAGTGAAATGTAAGAGTTGTCTTCACAGGAGAATTCTAGTGCTCAGTACTCCTTCATGGAAAATGTTTGAAAAACATAATTTGGAAGAGTGTTGACAAGCTATTAAATACTGCCTTAAAGATTTACTCAGACTTGCTGCTTTTTTTTTTTTAAACAAACAAACAAACAAACTGTATATGATGTGCAAGTGTACACTGAAGGAGTTTAATTGCATTAGTCATGTTGTTGGACCTGACTGCTTGGGAAAACAAGTAAAAGAAATATATTTTATAAAAATAATTTAGAACAATGTTTAAAAATGTAAAGGTCTTGATAGCAAAATCCAATTCAAAATTCAATGTGTTGATCCCGTGGTAATAAATGATGAACATAGGTTGGCTGTGAGCATTAGTTTGGCTAAAATTTGGTTAAATTCTGTCTGTTTCTGATTCCAACATGTTGTTTAAATACTACTACTGGTCCACTCTTTTTTTTGCCTACAGCAGTTTATTCTTTTGCTGTTCCTTCTCTTATGTCCCCACAAGTGTTTTTACAGATGCGAAGAGAGGGAGTTTGGGAACTCATCTGGGTTAAAACTAGCCAGTGGAGGGTTTTGGCAGGTTGGTTTTAACTAAACCAGTACTGCGATTTGGTTCAGCGCACCTTCAGGATGATACCCTGCTTATTGATTTTCTGTGTGTGAATGTGTGCTTGCGTGTGTTTCTTCTGAGAGGGGGGTGGAGGAGGGGTCGTTCTCATTTCTGGTGACATCTTACTATTGCAAATGTAAAACTATTACGTCTCTGATGAACCTCATCCCCTCTTCTGTTTACTGTCTGTTGTTCTTTACTAATACAAACAGGAATTCAGAAGCGTGAAGCCGTCAATTGCCGAAAGATTCGACACTTTGAAAACAGGTTTGCTATGGAAACGCTCATCTGTGAACAGTAATGAGGAATATTACTGTTACAGGAGACTTAAAAACTACAGTATGACCCCACCCTTTGTATTGTGTGCAGTGATTATTTTTTAAAATCTTCTTTTATGTCAGTAGTGGACAGGGCTTTATTGCTGAACACCTTCCATTCTTTTCATCTCATGATACATGTAAAATCAATATGGTTTAGTTTTTCCTTATTTTCAGGTGTGGTGTTCTTATATTTCAATAGCAATTGTATAAAGACTTAGTTGCTAGTGCATTTCATGTGATGAATACTAGGAAGAAGGGAAAGTCTTTGCAATATCCACCAGTTTTTAATTAAGTAAAACTGAAAAGAATTATTAATGTACAAACGGACTGCAAGAGCTACTTCTAACTGTAATATTACCTGCTATACTGTTTGTTACAGCATATAGACAAACCCGTATTTGACTCTCCCTAACCAAGTGCAATTTGTTTTGTTTTTAAAATACTGTCATATTTACCTTTTTAGATTGATTTCTGACTTGATGTTTTAAAATGGCAAGTGTTTGCTGTAACAATCTTTTAGAAAATTAAGAAGTAACTTATGTTACTAACTTGTATATAATCCATGTATGTGCAATGGAAAATAAATCTTATAAACCTGTTTGTCTAAAAGTCTTGTGTTTTCCTTTGCTATTACTGTGGAGGTTTTTTTAGAGTGGACAACAGTTAAAGTTAAAACTAATGTTTTTTACCTGCAGAACTGTTTTTAAAAGCGAGACGATAAAATGGAATAGGTGATGGCTGGTAAATGAAATATGAACAGAGAAACATGTTTTTCCATTCCTTTTTCATTTAAAGGCAATATTGTACTGCTTGCTTAAATTCTGGGTTGTATTTCCACAATGCATATGATCAGAGTGGAGATCCAGAGTTGACTTAAGATGTTGTTAGTGTCAGAAATCCCTGTCCTGAGTATTTGCCAAATGATGTACGTAATCTAGAGCATGCTGTGAGTCAGGCTGACCCCGCTGAGAGCCAGGAGCGTTCACCGGATGCAAGACTCTTCCCTTTGTTCAGCTTCACAGCATTCCTGTCAGCCTGTGCCACTGAGCTTTGCCAGTTAATCTGGAGCCAGCTCAAAGATTGCTAATACCGTTCTATATCGTGCCATTTTCACTTAGAACTGCTATTCTTAAAGCAAGTTTGAAATTTTTTTTTATATCATGGGGATCTCTTGTAATGGCAACTTTTGTAGGGGAGAGTGCAGGATAAGATGTATCGTAGTACCTGCTGTTCTGAAGCTGGTTGCAAGAAAAATTGCAGAAGAGGGGAAAAAAATGAGTAACGCTCAAAAACAAGGCTGGAAAATCTCCCCCAAAATCTTCTAAGCTTCCACAATATGGGAGCTGACTTGTCTTTTTGACCAAATTTTGAGCATTGATTTATCAGGAAAGTAGGAATGTTTAATAAAATATTTGCATACTTGTTTGCAAAAAAATGTTTAAACCTGTTTTTAAATAATGTGCACACCATAGGTGTCCAAATCTTTTGTCTTGCATGAATTCAGAGAAGAGGCTTTGGCCTAATCTTATTTTTCACCTTCTGAAGGATCTTTTCTTAATATAGTGGGAGGATGCTTGACTGGTTTTGGAGCTATTATACAACTGTAAACATGCTATCATCCAGCTTCCTGCTATTGTGAATATTTGGATCGAGATAAAATAATTTGTTTTAAAGGAAGTTTCTTAAATACACAATACATTTTTTTTCTTCATCTGCGTTTGGCTTAATTTAGAGTTTAGTCTTAGTGTAGCTGCATTATATATAAAATGAAAAGTATAATTGTTCCTTTCCAGAAGCTGGACTTTTAAATCCATTCTTGATGGTGCATGGCAGTCATGAACATCAAATAAAAGCCTCATGTAGATATGGGTTACATGCTCATGTATAAATTGTATTTACATAGCCACACTTGGTATAGATGTAAGCAAGCTGGAAAATCCACTGGGAAAACTTTAGCTACAGACATTCAGGATGTTGCAATTGTGTGCTTGAAATAAAAGGTTAAATAAATGTCAGGGCAGGGTTAGTAGTGCGTTCTTTGGAGCCCTGTATGACGCGGGATTCATTCTGAAGTACTTTTAAGCATGTTTCCTACCTTTTAATGAGACACTGTTCCTATTTTCCGTAAGTTAAACATGAAACTTGTTAAAGACGATGCAAGACTTACTTAAACATTAACTTGTTTTCAATGTACAATCCAGTTAGAAACTTTGTGAACTGTGGTGTGTCCTTTAACAGAGACACCAGCAAATGAGGCTGCAGAAGGGGTGGCAGAGAGGGGTGAAATCGGGTTGTTCTTATAGACAGGAGGTTGTCATGATCATGCTGCGTGCCTGTGTCCCTAATGACTTTTGAGCCTGTTGGATGGTGAAGGGAAATTTATTTCTATCAGTAGTGAAAATAAGTGTGAGTGAGGAGGGAGAAACTCGCATGCACTGAGGGAAAGCTCCCAGCATGCACTCACGTCTTATTAAATGCCAGGCAGTTTGTATGGGAAGAAGACCTAAAACACCCCGAGTGCAGGAAAAGTTCCCGTTGGAACTTCTGCCCTCTTAGACAAAGTCAATGAAGAACGGGACACAAATCCATGAAAAAAGCTGCTTGGGCTTTTCTCCTTTTTAAATAAAAGAGTATAATAAACAGACATAGCTGTGCTGTACTCAAGAGAGCTGCATTTCTAGACCAATGAATGCCAGAAAAGAGTTAGCAGAAAAATGACCTCATTGGACAATTATTTTTGCAAATATTTTTAAAACTCTTGGTAAGAAAGAAAATGCGTCCTAATGCTCTCAGACACACTTTGCCATAGAAGTAGCAAAATCCAAGAAGTGCCACTATCCCATGCCACTGTGTTTATTTGGTGGACGGGCTGTGTTGGTCTCTCACAGGTCCCGAACAGTCTCTGATGTTCAGAAGGTCTTTGCATGCAACCAGCCTCTCAAAGCGTGATAAGAGCTCCAAGTCTCCCCTCCTCCTCTAGTTGACGTCTTTCAGCTTTAGGAAAGTGCCATGGGCCTCGCTTTGGCATGAAGAAAATACTGAAGGCCTGCAAAATAGAAAATGCAAGAATTTGGTTATCTGGCACAAGTAGATGCCGCGGGGTTACCTGAAGCAACGCGCACAGATGTGTTGCACTTGCAGAGGAAAAAAAAAACTAGAGGGCTGGATTCATTTGTTTGAAGAAGATTGTTTCCAGCTGAATCAGTACCGTGGAAGCCAAGAGAGGTTTATCAAAGCCATCAGCTGAGAGTAGCGTTGTCCTCTGGAAAGGTGGGTACACGTTTTTATTGGTATGGGTTGGGTGGGAGGACGGAAGTCTGACAAGCAGAAGCCTGTGGTTGAGAAATACTCAGCAGAGCTGTGCTCTTATTGGCATTGTTTGTTCTAGTCGGAGGAGGATATTTTACTACTATGGGGGAAGCAACAGGGAAGAGCCTATAGCGCTGTTGTCATGCTATGAGTTTTGCTGGAATACTATACACAAATGTTTTCACCTAATTGGAGTATTTCATTATATTCTTGGTAAAGAAAGTAATCATTTTAGGCACTCTCTTATCAAAAATAAAAAGAGATTCAGAGAAATGCTTAAGTCTGTTCACTGTAGGCTATGGTTGCTCATTTTCAATTGGTTTTCAAGGTGTCAGTTAAAGTTAATTTGATTCCTGAGAACTACTTCTCGTAGAGGGTTTTCTATTTCTTGTGGGCTTAGGAAATCTTGGAAGAGGAGGCATGGGAAACATCCTCGCTGGGGAGACTGCCAGCAACAGGACAGGGTGTTGCCTGTGCCGGAGCACGCTTTCTCACATGGAGAGAGGAAGCAGAACCTGGGACTGGAGCAGGACCGGAAGGGAGGGATTGCAACGGGGTCGTTAATGCCGCTGTGTAATTGCAAGCAAGGGGGTTGTGGCTGGTTGGTTTGTTGACCTTTATTTCGTTACCAGTTGGCAGTACCAACTGGAAGGAACTGCCCTGCAGAGTGGGCATCCCAGGGGCAGAACGTGTCTGGGGTTAGAAGTGCTTTGCCTGCTGGGGACACACAGGATGGTACCTGCAAGACAAGGCACGTGGTGTGACACAGCTGTGTGGGCAAAGACATGTTTTATACTAATGCCCGGAAACCTTCCACAAGCAGGGAAAGCTGTACCAGGAATGATTAGTTTTTTCTGATGTGACTGCACTTCCACTAAGGCTTCAGTTGATAAATTGCATCAGTCAGAGATTTCATTTTTCAGTACCCTGGTCCTCAATGCTAGCACAAATCTGTAAAATAGACACGACTCTGACAGCCATTTGCACTCACAGAGAACATGCAATGTATAAGGTTCTTATACAGTTCTAAGTAGTTATTATTTTTCAATAAATGAATAGAAACAGTTACCTGAGTAAAAAGAGGAAAAAACAACACTGAAGCCTAAAAACTTTAATCAATACAAATCCTCTCTAAACTAATCTCAAAGGGAGAGAAGCAGAAGTATGCGTGCCACGGCCTGGGTTGCAGTTTTGCATATAGGCATCATATACATGCAGACGTTTCTCCATGCAGCAACCACAGTCAGCGTCTTTTCAGATCCCACTAGCAATTTGGGCACTTTATTGGTAGAGACTCCAGCCTTAAACTCCTCACTGCAGTATATCTGAGACTCCAGTAGCACACTACATAATGCTCTGAGAAGAGCAAGTCACAGATGTGTATAAACAGGGAGTGAAAAATATTCTTCTTATTAATAATGTGTATATAGAGAGGCTTTGAACTGTCAGAGGAGGAAACATCTAACAAATACCTCTCTGTTAGAGAGAAATTGAGGTTGAGGTTTGTCATGGCCCCTGTGGATTTTACTTTACTGTAGAAATACTAACTTACAGAAATGTTTTTTATCCTTCATATTTTGAACAGAGTCTTTATATAGGATACAACGATATTAGGTGCCAGGCTCACCAACAAAGGGGTGCAACCAGCCAGTTTCACCCCATCGCTCCTGTAAACCATTTCCAGCTTCAAAGGCAGAGCTGATGCCAGTGCAATTGCAAGGCAGTGTTACCAGGGTAGGTCATGCTGGGGAGTGGAAAAGGCCTGGTTCCATCCATGGCCTTAGTGTCCCTGAGGCACTCCTGAAACAGGACGGTCACTTAAGTCCGTCTGTTGCTCCCGGTGGAGCTCCAGAGAAGTCCTTCTTAAGGCCTGGGGCCTGTAGGGCAGCAGCTGGAGAAGAGCTGGCCTGTAGGGAGCGGGGACAGGTCATCACCTCCTCACTCCTGTTAGCACTTGTGCTGGGGCTTTGAGACGGACAGCTGGGCTCCAGGTAGCACTGATGGCAGGGGTCTGGCAGCTGCAGCATGGTGCAAGGGTCGTCCATGCACAGAAAAGGTTGTCTGAGAGAGGTTCTGCTGCCTCCCGGGTTAATTCTGCCTGTTACAGGCAGGGAAATGGGGTGTGTTTCAGGCAGACATTTTTATAGTCTGTGAACTTTATAGCCTATGTGTTTTATTCAAGCAAAAATTCTGCCCATGTTTAGTACTTGGACTAATACCCAGAAGCTTCCAATTTAGTGGTTTCAGTACATAGATTTCTGTCATGCATCTCCAGAAGAACTGATTTTATTATGACTGTA